TTTTTCAACAAATGCTTGCAGGAGTTTTCCTCCTTTTTTTCCTGGGTTTTTTTTTTTGTTTGTTTTGTTTTTTTTGTTTTGTATTCTTTAGTGCATGCTTTAATGAAAACTCATTTGTTGCCAACACGAGTGAAATTATATAGCTTATGTTCTCTGTGGGTTTTTTGTTTTTATTTATTTTTTTGAGCAGAATAACTGCTTGCTGTGATCCACATATTTATCTTTTAAGCCCCCTTTCTTGTCTCTTCACATTGGTAAGCTGGAAGCTATTCAACAGTTGCACATTACTGTAGCTACTATGCAGGGAGGTTCTATCTACCTTAAGGAAGAATTTCAGAAATAGTTGGATGCCTATACTGGGTTATCTTTTTCGAAGTTATTTGTGGCATTATTTGCTATTCATTTGGGTTTGAGCAACTTTTGTTTATAAAATGATTTTTTCTTAAATGAACACATGGTATTTTATGAGTAGCTGCATACAAGAAAGCAGAGTTTCTGCAGGCTAAAGATATAAAACCTGCCATCGAAGAATCAATGCCAGAAATAAAAGAAAAGAATTGAGATGAACTCACCCTTTGTGAGATAGATACTGATTCCTTTGAAGTGACAATGACAAGGATCAGGTGGGAATAAAATTCTGTGTTTCTCACCCTACCACAGTCCATAGGCTGCGGACTGTTCTTAGACCCTTGTAGCTGATGGGTTTCTTCCAAGCTTTGTGCTCCATATATCTTAAGAGCAGGGAGTTAAGAATGGTCAGTAGTCAGTGTGGCCAAGGTTTTTGAAGGACATTGGCTTAAAGTCCAATGAATGATGCTCAGGTAGAAAACTGRTAGCCATGCAGTCTTGGGATCCTTTCCTCTTAAAAACATGCACATTGTGTCATTAATAGATTAAAGGAAAAGGCAAAAAAAGAGAAAGAGTAAGAATATTGTACCTGGTCTATCAACAAGTATTTCTATAAAATGTAACATAGAACTATTGCTGTTTACATGAGATGTTTTCTGTTCGCACCTGTCCAGTAAAAAAAGGTCTTCAGATACTGCAGTTTCTTTAATGATTCTTCTTTCCCTGAATACCTTCTATTCAGATCAGCAGCACATATGTAGCCTCATGAGCCTCACTGGTGCTCAAATGGATATCATGGATGTTTTACTTTATTTTATACAGCTGGAATGAGGCCTCACATTTCACTGGTTTGTTTGGGTATCCATCAGTCGGGTCATACCCTGATGATCTAGAAAATCCTTTTTAACCTTTTTCCTGAATTTCAGTCTCTCTTTTTTTTTTTTTTTTTTTTTTTTTTTTGCTTTCCTTGAGCTCTAGTGATACTAACAAAAATAAAAGCAAGCTATTACTTGCTTCTGCATGTCAGAGGTCAGAGTGCATCCTCTGACTGATTCCTTAATAGGCAAATGCTCGGTAGGTGCTTGCTCTCCCTGTCTTTGCAGGTGCTGTGAGCAGTAGGTATTTCAGTCTCCCTACTGGTTTTGATTTTCAGATGGTAATTAGGAAGAAAAGAACCAAATAGTCCTAACTTATTTCCAAACCTTACCCACTGCCCCCCCCCAGTCTTGCAAACTGATCAAGTATTTCTAATCTTCTCTTAATTGCTTTCTACTGAGCTCCTCCAGACGTTTTTGCTTTTCCTCATCCACTGGCTTCCATCAGTTTACTTGTTGTTTACATGGTTAATATTTATGCTGACCCTCTTGGGAAAATTCACAGCTTGATTAGAGCAGAAGCTGGGTTCCTTATTGAATAACGTGTTCAGATTTAATGGAATTCTGCTTGCCACATTTGAATACAGAATGTGCTCGTCTCTTAAAAGCCTAACAGCTTTCAAAGGGCATAATCTGCTGTGAACTTTCTTTGGGTATAAACTAAACTTGCTTTCCTGAGAACGATATTGGAAATGGAGCACTGAGCCACTTAAAAGACACAGACTCATGGTCTCAGTAGAGCTTTGGCTCTAACAATAATAATCATATTGTGAGACTTCATAGATATCAGGCGTTTTGGACAAGGTTTTGTGCTTGGGGATTGACAGCAGTAGATTTCAAAACTGCATTTCAATTTTCCAAGTTATAATTCTCTTACAATTCAGAGTTATAATTCTTATTGTTTAGCACTGAAGAATCAGAGTGTGAGTTAGAACATTCAACTGACAGTAAAGTTGCGTTTTATGTTAAAAAGGAATGTAGGTACTCTTCACAAAGGTAAACTAGTTTTTCTATATTTTAAAACAATGATGAGGGCTTTATGACAAATTCAGACTTCCCCCTCCCTTGTCAGGTAAATACCACTGCCCAGTGCTGTTCACTGTATTCACCAATAACTCCCATATTGTGGCCATCAAGACAACTGGGAATGTGTTTGCCTATGAGGTAGGTTCTCTTGCATTTCTTTATTAATATTTTATCCTTGATGCATTTTATTCAAGATCGCAAACAGCTTTAAAAAGGTAGGTTTTATTCTTGTTTTACAGCCAGCGAAATTAAAGTATTTGAAGATGAACTGATTTCACACAGAAATGAAATGTGTTGGCCACACAAACTGTTGCCCCACTTGTGCCTTCAGAATATCAGTACAGCCAGAACACAATATTAAAACTACTTTTTAAAGTAGCTAATTTATGTGTGACCAAATATTATGGAGATTTGTAGACCAAATTGAATTGCTTTTATGTGCTCTTGGGTTGAATTAATAGACAATTTTTCTGTTKTTTTTTTTTTTTCTTTTGTGAAATCAGAATGTGTTTATTCCACATGGATTCTTACTATGAAGTAACCTGCTGCTTTGTAGAGYGTCATTTAATTTTTTCAGGTGAAGTTAAGTGTTGTTCCAGGCTGGATGCAGCAGTGGGGGTGGGTGGTGTATGAGGGACTAATGTAATTTGATGTCTGCTGATCTGGAACATTCGTCTTTCACTGAGAGGTGCTGAAGGGGTGGGGGGAGATATGGACCCCTTGTTAAAGCTGCCTGTCTTAAACCATCTGTAAAATACTTGACCTAGAAAACTGCAAGCAAGGCTTTTTACTTTGGCACCAGTTTTAAGAGGAATTTGGTTAAAATCGTGTGTAAGGAGGGAATGCATTTTTTTTTCACCCAATTTTCAGTTGGGTAAAGATGAAATAAAGGCTTCTCATTTCTCATCTCTGTTAAGGCACACAATGGAAATACTGAAACTGCCAGTTGAAAAGGGAGGAGTGAAAATTTCTTCATCATYTATGTCTTAAGATTTGGGTATCATCACATGCTTACTTGTAATATTTACATTAGTGTGTAGGGTGGATTTTTTTTGTTTTTGTTTTGCTTTTTGGTTTTAATATCTGTGTCTTTCACCTGGCCATTAGGCAGTTGAACAGCTGAACATAAAACCAAAGAGCTACAAGGATCTTTTGACAGATGAGCCCTTCACTCGGCAAGACATTGTGACACTGCAGGTAAACTTTCCTCTCCTATGTGTGTCTCATAATACCCCTTGTTTTGCAGTGAGTGAGGTGTTATTACGTAGACTGTTAGAGCATATGTATAAAATAAGTGAAGTGAGAAGCATTGTTCTACATGTGGTGTTGGTTAGGAGACCTGCTTGTTTTCCTTAGTTATCCAGATGAGCCACAAATGCCATGTAAGTTCAAGCCCAAATAATATCTACAGTGATTTTTGTGCGCCCTCTATGTAAGTATCTCTCTATGTATGTATTAGCTGAACTTTGTGAATTGAGGAATGATCGTGTATGGTGCACAAAGAAGTCAAGGATACCGTGTAAAAATGAGATTTTGACAAATTTGTGTTACTCAGCAATTCACAGTACTAATGTTACAATGTTTAGTGATTTCAGCAATATTAAAACCAAAATTAAAAACCTGTAAAACAACACTTCAGAGTACAATAGATGTCTATTTTACAGATGAAGCTTAGCATAGAAAGATGTAAAGCTGCTGTTTAAAAATAATTCTTAAAATAAAGGCACTCAAGTCTGTCGACTTGCAAGATAGGAGGGGAAAAAAGATTCAAAAATTTTTTTTTTTGGTAATCAAGAGTTAGTATGCATCTCTCATGAACAGGTTATTGCCAGCAACCAAGACGAACACAGCTTCATTTGAATAGAAATATATTTTTCATTTATGTCTAAATATAATTGAAGTGTATCCTTTCTCTCCTGCCTTGCAATGCTTAACAGCGTGTTTACAGGTTTTTTTTCCTCCCTGTTCCTTTGAGGAGATGACTGTTCAAGCTAATGCAACAAAGTAAAATGTTTTTAATCCAATGAAAGTTAAAACATAATTCTTTTCCAGACTGAAAACTCCCAGCAGAATGGTATTTGAATGTAACTGCATGGTTGCTAATGGATTCGGAACAGTAAAAACAGACATGAGTGAATAGAAAATGTTTCTGTGTATTGATATGGAAAACCAAGTGTTTTGAAGAAATAATTGAAATGTGCAGTTATTGAAAATATTTTGGTATATTTTGTATGTCTGGGATTGAATGTATGTATAAATGGTGTGTTCTTGTTACAGACCTAGCTTGAGTTTTTCATTTAAAAGCAACCATATGCTGTAGCTCCCCTAAGTCTCAAAATGTGATAACTAGCAATTTTGTGTTGCCTCTGTGGACTTTTATCAATGTTTTTCATCCTCATTCTGTTCTTGACGTAGTGGGTTTCTCTTTTGCTCATAGTAGTATGTCCATTAATAGAAACTAAGCAGATTATGATCAATATCCAATCACTTGCACTTTCATCCTACCAGCTACATGGAGGTCACAGCCAAACACCGCTTCTACCTCTCCTATGTCCATTTAAGATGACACATATATAGATTTCTTCCCCTTAAATAAACAGTTTGTTATAGCTTGGTGTTAGCTAAACATTTGCAAGTGCACTGTCTTGTGGTTTCATCATCTCAAAGTAATTGCAGAATTTTTACTGTCTTTGGTATTGACCTGGAAGAGATTTTGATTATCTGCACATGGTTAATCATCTAAAGTTTGACCCTCAATCCAAATAATTTTAAAATCTTGTTTCGAACAAGGAGTTCTTCGAAAAACATGTCCGAATGACTCTGGGGTGCAGACCAGGATGYAGCTCAAAGTCAAATGGCTAACCTGGATATTAAAATCACTTGTATGTGTTTGATACATGAATCTCTTATTTTCTTGTAGTGTTTTTCTTTTTGTGCAAATTGTTGTGAGGACAGACCTGAGTCTGCTCCAAGTTCTCATGTTGACAGCACTGTAGGCAGCATCGCAGCTTCACGCTGCCAAGCTCTGCCACCTGTGGCTTTGGTTCCCCGCCAGGGTTCGTGACTGCAATCTGTTGTGCTCCAATTTGTGTCTCTAGAGCTYCGTCCCTCATCCCCCCTTCCTTTAAAAAACCTTTAAATTCTGTGTCAAAATTTATYACTTTGCTTCTTCGCTCTCGAAGTAAACTGTATATTGAGAATATGGAGTTGAGAATGAGCTGGTAGTGGTGACCCTGCTGTTTGGCAAAAGGTTACATATAAAGGAGGTTGCTATAGAAAAAAAACCTTTGCTTTGCAAATAACAGGTGAATAGCACTGTCTTTAATAGCTATGTTTATCAATAGAAATCAAATTTCTAGAGTCTGACTCTGTCCTAGGAGGCACATGAGGTAGATGTGTTTGGAAGTGAAATAGAACAAGATAAATCAAAAGTCTGAATAATGTAGGTTTACAGGTTATTTGTACAATCATTTTTTTCCTTATTGTTACTGGTAGGAAAAACCTACAGCTGCTAAGATGTTCTGTTACAAGAATAGCGGCTGACTTYGAACTTGACCTCTCTTTCCTAATGTGTGTAATTAAAAAAGAAAAATCTCTTTTCAGAAGAGAGAGTTTAAATAAGATTGCCTGTTCTCTSTGCTAATATTGTGCAAACATTAATGATAACCCATTTCTGCCGTCTTTTCTGGTGAGTGACATCTCAGGTGGGCTTCTTTTATAGCTATTTGTGTTCTTTTGCTTTTAAATTTACTTTTTAATGGAACAAAAAAAAAAGCAAAATCACAACTCTTTGTTTGTTAATAATGTAGCCTTGTGTCTAAAATGCATTTCTCTCTGTCTATAGTACTTGATGCAGTACCTTCTAATATACAGGAATTACTTTATTCCCCATTGAAATGCAAGTGTTCCTGGGGAATAGTATGGCAATTATTCATCAACATATGGCATTATTATCCAGCCTTTCAAGGTAGGAGGTAAATAATAATACCATATCCTGGTGTGCAAGATACATTACCAAAATTGGAATTGATTCTGACACAAACTTTGATCTATTTATTCAAGCAAAAGATTTCATGTATTCWGGTTTAGTGTTTTGSTGACAGCGTCAGGAATGCTCATGGCATATACCCCATGAGCTCCTCTGACTTTAGGGGGATTTTGGAGGAATTTTAGGCTCCAACAGTCTTAGTCTAACCAGGGACATTTTTACACTGTAGCTTTTCACCTGCAAGGGGAATTTTCCTTTCCTTAATGGTATCATTTGCCACAAACTCAAGTCAGACTGCCTGTCTTTTACAATACAGATACTACTTTTTTCCAAGTTTCTTTCTCCTTACAGCTTAGGAGTATTTCAGATTACTTTTTGTCTCAGCTGCACTAGTTCATCTCTCTCCTAGATGGAATACCACTCCTGTGTTTTGTCTGTACTCCTCATAACTCTAAATGCCCTGGTATTCTTTTCCCTTGTATGATGAACAGCTCATTCTAAGCTATCTCTTGCAAGCGTCATGCTTCCCAATGACAGACAGCTCAAGAATGTCGGGATCTCCTTACTCATGCTTTATAGCCAAGGTGTGAGTTGAAGCGCTTGGATTTCTATGGGAACAGGGTCCTCTAATGGGAAGGCTGGTGTTGCTCAAGCTTGTTTGCAGTGTTGTTACAGGTCGGTTCTGCTTCSTATTCTAATGCATCACTGTTCATCATTTTGCTTTGCAATTGCTTTATAGACAGAATTCAGTATAGTTTTGAAAGCATTCTTAATTTCAGTGGGTTGCAGTGGGCTGTGATTCAGAACTAGACGATCCTTTTAGTCCTGTGTTTTACTAGCTTTTCAACTAATTTTCAATGCAGATGACTATCCCTGCTTAACCCAATTTGAAATAATCTGCCAAGGAAATTTTTTGGTGTAATTCAGTGCTAAATCTCCAAAATCTGCTATCTGATATTTTATCTCTAACAAAATCTAGTYGGAGCAGTCTGGTAGGAATGATTATGAAGACATTTTACTGTAAATAGGTGTGAGTTTAAACGTGAAATTTTGCAACTTATTCTGTGTGCAGTTATGCAGAGCTGACCAGGAAGCATCTGAGTGAGTTTGATTTGGGTGCTGTCGTGTAACGCTGGGCACCCTGCAGTGCTTGTCCCAGCTCAAGACACTCGGAAAGGATGGGGTCAAGTTGGGCCTTGCCAGACATCCTGGTGGGCTCCAACAACCCTGTGGATGCCTYCCACAGGCAATGCAGGAGCCTGTTCCCCTTTACTGGAAGGGTTGCAATAAACCCCCAGCCTGTTGTGCCGAAGGTTACAGGCCTCATCCCTCTCCAGTGGCTGCCTGCCAAGAGCCTTCCCAGGCTACACTGCTGCAAACGGCTCCGCTCTGCACCGTGGACACGGGGGCAGCTTTCCTGGGAGAAATAACCAGGGACAAAAGCACGCCTGGGCAGAGGGCGAACAGCTTTGCAAAGCAGAAAGAGACTCATTCTGCTATGCGCTTCCTTCTGTCAGTTTTATTGTTTCCGTACAACCTAATCAGCTGCAGACAAGACACGGCTCCTGACAAGCTGTTAAACAGCACTGGCGTCTGTGACAGGAAGCAAAACTAATGAACTGAGCTGGAGGAGCGCGACGCTCGCTGAGGTTCTCCTTCGCTCTTYGTGTGGCAGAAGGTCGGGGCAGATTTTCTCTCGGTTGCGAGTGAGGGCTCTCTGGCAGCGAGTCAGGCACATATGTCTGCATGTGCTAGGTGGCTGCTGAAGAGGGGCCTTGTTGGGCCATGGTCCACACTGAGCTTCTCATTCTTAGCTAGGGGCTTGGAAGGAGAATATGACCCTGTTTAGGAGAGAAAATCCAAAGAAGACCAAAGAAATCCCATCCTTCTGCAGTCTGGGCAGAGTCCTTGAGCGGCCAGTGAATCTGAAACTACCTGCAGCCAAGGGGAAAGGCTGCCTCGTTGGGCTGAGGGCATTCATCCATAAATATCGTTTTCAAAGCAAAAATGCCAACTGGGAGTTGTTTGGAAACAAGCCATGTCGATTTGTAAAACTTCTCTTAAGTTTAACGTGCCTGGAATCAGACCTTATCATCGAAGCTGCTGTGTTTTTTTTAATACTTCTAAATGGTGTGATTTGAAGATAACATGCCTGCAAATAATTATTTCATGCAGGATGGCCAGCCAAACATCAAGAAAGAAACCAGGTCTCTAAAAGAACGCACATTCTTAGACCTAGCATTTTTTGACTTGATCTTTTGGGATTTTTTTTTGTGTGCATGGAGCTTAAGATGAATCAGTTTTAAGCTGTTTCTCTAAGTAGGTGAACTGGAAAAGCATGTGAGGGGGAAAAATGGAACAAAACTCAAGATTGTTTTTAGAGCTCAACCTCCAGGAAAACATTGAATATGAGATTTATAATAACGATAGTTAGCAACCCTTTGAAGTYAGTATCTGTGTGAGTAATTTGCTAAATTTTAGTTTATAGTTCATAGTCTTAATTAGAAAGATCGTGAGACTGTTAGCATGTTTAAAAATACATATTCAAATTACTGTGGGTAAAAGGAACCAAAGTAGGCCAATTCACCCTGCTCTGTAGGGTTTGAGTCTCTGGTTTCAGTGCACGCACCCAAACCTTGCTGCTTTAGGTTCACAACCACAATAAGGTAATGTTTAAACAGCAAGGTGATATACTTTGGTGATAACAAAATACTTCAAATCTGAACAAAGGCAAACCCTGCTACTACCCAATTAAACACCAGTGTCTAACCAACCCTGCTACTACCCAATTAAACACCAGTGTCTAACCAACCCTGCTACTACCCAATTAAACACCAGTGTCTAACCAACCCTGCTACTACCCAATTAAACACCAGTGTCTAACCAGAATAAGCAGAAGTTGCTCAGGATTCTTCCGTATAAGTTGGCATTTCCCTTTGCACTTGGGAAAGATTCCACACTGTTTTACCTCTTGGCGAATGGTAGATTCATAAAATAAGGCAGAAATTTTTAATAATCATCCAATAGYCTTCATGTCAGAGGCCTTAATCTTAAGGATTAAGTCCTCTTAGTCCAGTCTGGAACTGGACTATTCCTTGATTATTCGTGTTTTCAATCTTTCCYTGAAAAGAAGAGGCCGCTGGTGTGATGGAGCTCAAGGCTTTTGTTGCAGCAAGCCTGCGAGCCTCTCCAGCTCTGCAGTGTCAGCATTCCCGTCTTGCTCCAACCGTTTTGATTCTGCGCCCAGGAACTGTCACTGCAGCCCGAAGTGCAAGTTGCCAGGCTGATTATTAATGTGGAGACGGTCTTCCTGAAGCGATAAGTCTGAAGAATGTGTGCACTCTTTAAATTTACATAAAGCTACCTCGAAAAATTCATACCTTCTGTGGTAGGTCTCCTCACCAGCAGCAAGACCTTAGTTTCTATTCTCTGCAGTGCAGCTTGGACTGGCCAGATCTGTTTCTGCTATTGGGGTCAGTAGGAGCAAATGRTATCTTGTGTTTAAGTTAATGTTCACTGCTCCTGGACTTGGTACACGTGTTTGCTTACTTCTAATCAAACTTCTCCTAGTGTTTCGTAATAACGTGTTATAGAGGGAGGAGTCTCTGGGTGAGTTGTCCTGCGTAACATGACGATCAAAATTCAATTTGTGGAATGTTCTTTGTGKTTTTTTTTTTTTTTTTYCCTCCAACAGCAGAGGGAAAATGGTTGGGGAATATGCTTCCAGGTTGTCTACCTTCTCAATAGAAAAGGCCATTCTCAAGTAAATGGYGTGCCTGAGTATAATGAAGGACAGTGCCCATGACGTGGGATTTCACTGTGGTCATGGTGGCTTTGAGCTCCATAGGGTCTCAGAAAGCAGAAGGGCTGGGATCCCTAATGTGAGGGAGCAGCAGCTGAGTATCCTTCATAGTTGAGCTGCCAGTGGGACCTTAGTGAAGACTCTCAGGAGAATCCTGAGAAAGAAGCTATAACTATTTGATGTTGTTCTCTTTCTTTCTTTCTCTTTCTTCTTTTCTTTTTCTTGTGTTTGTTTGTTTTTACTTCGTCCCGAGTTGCTCAATACCAGTAATTATGCTAGTTAAACTAGTAAGCATTTACATGAGCTTTGACTGTGAAACAGTGGAAACTAAGCTGATTCATCATAACCTCTGTGCAAAACACCTGAGATTTCATAAGGCAACTGATAGTTTGGATGTCCCTTTTTGTTTTTGAAAGATCAGTAAATCAGTAAATCAAAAGACTGGATTTAGAGGAACAGAGTAAAAACATTATTTGGTTAATCTTTCCTGCTGTCTGTTGTCCTCCCTCCCTTCATCTTTGTGTCATATGAAGAGTCTTTTTCAGGACTGAATCTTGCCCTTCAGCTTTGCCACGAGTGGCAGAAATGCAGCTTGCTATAAATCCATTTATCTGCATTAGTATTAATACCCAGATTATTTTCTCCTGCCCTGGAAGGGATAAGCAGTCTGGCTTTCTTTACCTGTAGTGGTGGCTCATTTATGTGCAAGACTATAATTTCTGTGAGTTTGTGATTAGTGAAGAATATCTGAGGGGGAGGCAGAGACTAAACCTGTGTCTGGACTTTATCTGTGCACGTTGTTGACTGTCCATGTGCAAGGCTGAAAGCAGTCATACATACAGAAAAATATATGTGGGGATGGTCATGTTTTTGTTGACGCAGAAAAATAATTTCACCTAATTGCAGGAGTGAGAGCACACGAAAATAGCTTAAAGGAAGGTTCAGATTTTGTGTTTCTTGGAAGATTTAAAAAGACCTGTTTCAGTGCTGTAGCCCAAATTATCTATTTTTTGGCATCCCATGTCTTGATGAAGATCTTTCAGAGTAGTTGTAGTAGGACAGCAAGCAAATGAGACAGAATAAAACAGGGAGGTCACCATTAGGGAGCAGATTTATGCGGCCTGATTTCATAAATGTGTTTTGGTTTTATTATCAGCCATAAAACTGGAAGTGTACTCTGCACTGGAAGCTTTATCATTTCAGGGATGAATGAAAGGCATAAGTGTATCATTTAACATGTGATGGAGTTACCAGCTCTGCTAGTATTAACTGTTATTTTAGCAAAGATGGAATTGTCACTGACAGTAGTCGTTTGAGAAGCTCTGTTAAATTTGAGGAGGCTTATATGATTTGTCTTGGGGTTATAATCTTTTGCATATTTTTTGTATGATTTTTATCCTGAATTTAGACTATTGCATTTTATTAAGACATTTGCTAAAAGATAAAACTTTCAGAAATGGTTGGATATTCTGTAGATTTTTGTGACCTTTCTGTGACACAAAGGAGCTTGAAGAATAAGCCTTGAAATCTTTGTTAGAGAGTATTGAGAGCTGCTTAATAATAGGATAGTGTAACCTAGGGTCACCAGTATGTATTCCCTGTCTCCTCCTCTCTTAATGGACTCTGGATTTTATTGTTTGTTCCTTTAGTGACCGCTTTTTCATAATTCCACTTTTTATTGCATTTTTATTAATATAGTTCCATAAACACATATTTCACTATAGGAAAAAAAAGAGTAAAAATGCTGAATGCAAAGAACTAATCTGCATATTTACTCTGAGGCTATGTGCATTTGGAAATGCGTTCCAGAAGCTCACAGAGCACAGGCAGCACAGTGAGGAATGGGAAGGGCTGGCTGTGGGGAATTTGCCCACGTGTTGAAGCAAATGGCAGAATGCAGAGAAGCATCAGGGGGCTGCAGCTCCTTCATTTTAGGAGGCAGATGGGCTTTGCTTGGTTCTGTGTGTAACTTGTGCAAAGCAAAATATTTATAAAATGATGTTTGTATATAGTTCTAGACTAATGTCTCCCTAAAGTTGCTAAGTCTCGGGTCAACATTTTTAAAAAAACATTGTACTATTTTTGTGCTTTTTTTYAATACATCCTTTTTTATCTTTCTGTGTCTTTCTGTGGTTTGGAGAGCATGCWGTTTATTCTATCTCTGAGAAACTGGTTGTGCCTTTTTCCCTCCTGCTYTCTTTTGGCTTATTCTGCTGTTATTTAGCCTTCAAATTAGTTTGCTCTATGCTTGTGCAGAACTTGTGCTTACCAAACTCTCTGATGTTTGTACTTTTAATAATTTTCAGGACCCAACAAACTTGGATAAATTCAACGTCTCTAACTTCTTTCATGTTAAGAACAACTTAAAAATAATTGATCCAGGTAAGTATGAAGTGATGATAGGCTGAGAAAATATCACCCTTAAAATGCAAATTCCAAGGACTATATTATGAATTGACACGGTTTTCTGAATGGACAACCCTCAGAGTTACCTCAGTGGTAATTTTGAAAGATTTTATTTTGAAAGTATTTTAGCATGAACTTGTTAAAACTGTCCCTTTCACATCAAAGGATGTTTATATATTTTCAAAGAAATGGATTCTTTGAGAAATGATGAACTGTCTCAGTTGGATGCTGTACAAACACAGAACACTTTCCATGCCATTTAAGAATAGGTAGGTAGGCAAATTAGGTAGAGATAGAGAAGGATGAAAAATAATTTATCATAATTTATGGAAAAGTCCATTAGTCTTTTATCGGAACCAAAAAAGAGGAACCTACAACTTTTCGTACCTGTTTACTCTGTGATAGGCTCTCCCATGTGTTAGCTGTTTCACTGATGTATGGTCTCTCCTTCTGTTTGGACACCAGTAATTTTTTTCAAAGTGAGAATTGATTTAAAATATTCCCCAAATTATTTTAATCCTCAAGAATAACTAGAGATTTTTTCTTTTTTTTTTTTGTGATGAAATTTATAAAAATAAAAATAACTGGATTCTACAGTGTATTCCACCTGGATTCTACAGTGTATTCCACCATCCTCTTTCCCACAATAAATATCTGATCTTGGATTTTTAATATCGCAGGACCTCACCTTTTGGTGAGAAGAAAAACAGTAGAAGTTCATATTGCACTCAACCATGTCTTTAATTGTTCTAAAAAAAGGAATTTGGTTAGATTTGCATGAACTTAGATCATTTTTAGTGATTTTGAGGGAATTCTTGCAGTAATCSATTTGGAGCTGCCATTTGTTGTTCTTCCTCAGACTGACATTTATCTATTATGCCATACTTCAAATGATACTGTCTTTAGCATCACGCATTGCCATTTGTTACTGTTTTGGCTGGAATAAATATTTTTACTAGACTGTTATATTAAAAATGTAAAAATAATGCCTGGAAGTTTTTTTCTAATAATATATGTAAGAAGATGGAGAAAAAAAAAATAGAAGCCTGTCTTTTAACTCCAGATATTTTGATTTTGTCTAGAGGAAGAAAAAGCAAAGTTAGATCCATCTTACTATTTGAAAAATACAAATACAGAGACGCGAGAGACGTTGCTGGAACTTTATAAGGAATTCAAAGGAGATGATATTCTAGCAGCTACCATGAAGGCTCCTGAAAAGAAAAAAGTGGATAAACTGAATGCAGTAAGTTGATTTGATTTATACTTGGATACTGATTAACTTCAAAATCAGTAATAGAWTTTTTTCAGCTTGGAGGGCATGTTGCAGTATGAACAGACACTMTTCCTTTTGTTTTCTTACACTGATATTCTTTCATAGATGAGAATATGAGAATCATATGAGAATATGAGATTCCTTTGTAATACATTGTACATGGTAGTGAGTTTCTCTTTGTTAAATTGTAAATATTTCAGAAAAGGGTTACAAAAAGGAGGAGGATTTTTTACAATGCAGTTATGATGTATATGCTGGCAGAGCCTTTTTTCCCTCAGGTTGTAATCTCYTGCTTTGAATTTGTTTATCATTGTTTCCTGCAGTTATTGGCAAGAGGGAACACACCGTAAGGGCAATGCAAATGAATCATTTCTGGTGTGGGCAAATATATAAATCAYCCACAGCTGCTTTGACATTTTTTCCATGGGAATGCAGGAATTTTWGTGGAATATTTTAAAGGATCTTCTTCCCAGTGCTTATTACTGTGTGTTCATGGCTGTCAAGAGAATTAATTCATCTACCTCTTGATTTCCTGCATCAAAGGCTCTATGAAATGGGAAGACTGGGTGTTCTTTAATAATTTTGGGGCGTATGTTTGTGCTTTGATTACACTTACATAAAAATGAGTTGCAATGCAGCACATGGCTTTTTGAGGGGCGTTGGTGATAGATTTACTGGTGAAGGTAGATGATGTAGAAGTAGGGTCATATATGCCTCCTAGCATTATAAAAAAACAAAAGATATTGGGAAAAATCAAGGTGAGAAAGAATATGAACTCATTATGTGTTGGGGAGCCAGATTCTCAGCCAATAATTTAGAATTGTAAACTCACATAGGATGTGGTGTGACCTAGTGGTTGAGCATTGACCTATGACCAGAAGACCTCTCTGCGAGGCATTGCTCCAGACCCACTGGAAGTTTCCCCAGGTTCATTTGGTCTTCATGATTCACTATGAAATCCAAGTGTGCTGTTCACATTTCCTTTCTGCAAATAACTTGAGTAACTCAAAATAGACACTGGGAGCTAGGGGACGGCCCCAGTGCATGCAGAAGGCCTGTGTGTGGGAGGGAGTTGGTTTGTTTTTCTCCTCCACAGTTCACTGGCTCTTCCTTCCACTTACTCAGCAACGTTGGCAACTTTTACAGATGTCTTGCCAGCAGTGTTCCTTTCATATCTCCACCTGTGGACATTCAAATATCTTCTGATGATAAAATCTTTGCAAAAGTAATGCATGGARGTGTTGTGGAAGCAGTGAACCCCTTCAGCTCACTGCCTGGGCAGCCTTAAGTAGAAATTAATCGGAGCAGATGTTRTGGGTAACAGATGGGGAAAATATCACTGCATCGTGCATTTGTTTCTTCCTAGAGGAACTAGAGCGGAAAGTCTGCCCTCAGAAGGGTGCCATAGATTACATTTTTGTTTCTAATATATAAATAGTATGGAGAAAATATTTTTAAGATGGATTTTTTTTCTCTCTGTAAACAGGCCCACTATTCTACTGGAGCAGTAAGTGCTTCCTTCACATCCACTGCGATGGTTCCAGAAACTACCCATGAAGCAGGTACCAGAACTACCTATCTACAAGCCATTTCTGTCCAGTTTTAAAGTATGCTCCCCAGCACATGTACGTTTATGTGGGCTGCAGGAACACATTGGTAACTGATTAATAATGATGCCTTGGAAATGTATTAGCTGAGCAGATATATCCCTATGTTCTGGTGAGTTCATTTTCAAAATAATGGAGCAATTATGAWTTGGCTTTGGGTTTGAATGTCAGGCATTTACCTTGAACTGAAATCAATGAAGTATTTGCTATGCTCCTAGACCACAAAATGGGATGTCCACTTATATGTTAGGAATGAAGCATAATCTCAAATTACGTACAAAAGCTTTACCATCTTTTTGACTTAATCAGGTTTTGGTTAGAGTGACAGCAAAAACAATGTGGGGGTGGCTTTTTATTTACTGTTTTTCAAGGCTAACTCTACACAAAAATGCATTTTAGTATYGAAAGTATTTATATTATATTTAAATACTTTTACCCAGTAGCTTAAATACAAGGCTATAGAACTTCTTAAATTTCAATATCACTTAAGTAGCTGAGTAATTAGTATTCCCAGCTAAAGAGAGAGGTTTGGCTTTGAATACTGAAAATGTAGGCGTGTCACAGGCAAAGCTTGAACACAGTGCTAAAATTGTGTCCTTACCAAATGCAGTGTCTGTACGTGGTAGATTACCATGATTTGGAGATGCATCTTTCAGAATGTTAAAAATATCTAAACTGGGTGTTTTCACAAAACGGAAGTGGAATCATCCTAGGCTGGTTCTCTGATTTGGCTTTCCAGTAATGTCTCCAGTAACTTGGCATCATGCATTTTCAGAACTGGTTAGGYCCTCATATGTCAGCAGTTTGTGGTTGGATGATGACTACTTGCATGACTTACAAGTTTGACAAGAAACATTTTGATTTCAAAGCAGCGTCCATGATTGGTAGGCATGACTTGAAAATTATAGTATATAACACTGAATATTTTGGGGACTTAAAATATAGATGATATTGTGGACTGTAGCAGAGTTGATGACTTTCTAGAGTGGAGATTGTTTTGCATAGAAAGGTCAGTGTGAGGTTATCATAGGTGAATTGTGGACTGCAATACCTGAAGACCCAGTGCCTCAGGGACTCAGTTCAGGCATTAGAAACTAATCATTTCTTTGCTGGTGATTTCTAAAAACACATGAATAAWCTTCCAAAGAGCTAATTATTGCATTTTGCTTTGAGACAGCTGCTATTGAAGAGGATATTGTAAGATACCAGTATGTGAAGAAGAAGGGCTATGTACGACTTCACACTAATAAAGGAGACCTAAACCTGGAGCTGCACTGTGACATGGTACTGTACACACATAGGCTGAATGGCTCTCTAGATAATGAACAGAATAGAGACAGGCAAAAGAAATACCTATCAATAGGAGTAGTGTGTAGTCATAGATACAGGTAAGTGATGGACTTTCAGTGCTGTTGGTGTGTCTTCATCTACAGAGTTTCATTGTTCAAGCAAGATACTCTAGGGGATTCTGAGAGCCTGGGAGTTGTTGCAGGAGTGGAGGTGCTTCCCTTGCTGTCGGTCATTTATAGAAGAGGACATGGGGTAAACGAGGTTACCTCTTGATGGGTAGATGTATGAAGGATTTTGAGGAAAAAAAATCTAAATACCATAGCCAAAAAGATCATCCTCCTTTTTTTTTTTTTTTCATAGGATGTAATGCATACGTGCAAAACTGACTGTTGCATTAGCCCTTGGAACCTCATTCTTTTGTATCTCCAAATTGCAGTTTTAACTGTTAGGTCCACGATAGCTTGGAAAAGCAAAGAAGGGCAAAATCCAGGCTTCCTTTCTTCAGGTATCTTGCAGTGTAATGACTGTGCAGCTGTTGGATTTGCAGAATTTATTGCAGATATATTWTTAAGCAAAAGATGGAATTGACAAGTGTTTGGGATTTTTCAGCTCATCTAAAGCTCTACCAGATTACTGGTAGAACCAGAAAAAGAACTTGAATCTTGTAATGATCTTACAAGTCTCATATCAACTAGGTTTTATTGCCAGAGTCTCTCAGATAGATAGTGCCTAGTTGTTATCTCMGTGAAAACAAGAGCTGATGACCAGCCTGAGTACATGCAGTTCAGATCTCCAAATTATAAATTTTGAGCTTTATAAAACARGAAAATATTTGAACTTTCAATATTTAAAAATCCAGACCTTGCGCTATTTGCTGAGGTTTTTAAGCTTGGGAAATTGCAGACCTGTATGTAAATGTTTTGGGAAGTGGAAGAATGTGAATAGGGGTTAGGTTAAATGGTAAAAATTTCCACCTCTCATGAGCCTTATAGGACAATGGTGTTGGCCAGGAACTGGGACATCCAGGTACCTGGTGTGGAATCAGGAACTTTATTGGAGGAATTCTTCTGGTTTTGCCTAGCTCTTTGTACAGCTGGGAAAAATAAAAATGAGCGAAGAGAACAGGCCTGCCAGCTCTCCTTTCTCTTCCTTTCTGTCCTGTGAGTAAGGAGCAAGATGCACATCAGCATCCCAGGCTGACCTGTGCAAGGAACACCCAGGGAAGGCTCTCCCAGCAACCTATCCCACCGGTGATTCTGTAGATCTTTGTCATCTGTGCAGGTGTTTTCCGTGCTCTTAAATAGTCACACTGTGCAGTAAGGCAGAAAGAAGAGGATGTCAGTATGTCAGTACTTGGTGGAAGCAGCCGAGGGAGCAGGTTGTAGTGACTCGCGTGTTTTGCCGTACGCGGAACAGCCTGGCTGCATCCACGGAGTCTCTGGGGCCACAGATAGGACCGGTATTGCTCAGACCTGCGGATGCAGCCTCAACTGCCCTGTTTAAATTTCCTGGAGGATATCCCATGTGTTTCTTTCTTGCACATGAATCCCCATTGAGTTCCCTTCCACGCGCCGCTTCCTCCTATGCACGCTGGAAGCACGCGCTGTTTTGCACAGCCAGACCTGCTGACCTCTGGCCATCCATTTCTTTCATTTCTTTGGGCTGCTAAAGCCTGTGAGAATTAAACAGACCTTTGGCACTGCAGAGGGAAAAGAAAAAAAAAAAAGGTGTATCTTTAGAATAGGTAGGAAGTATGTGGCTTGAAGGAGTTTTTCACAACATCCAGTTTAGGTCACCATCCTAGGCGTGTTGCATCAGTCCTTCCTGGCGTCACTTCTTTTTCTCCCCTTACTATATAAGGAACTTATGCGTCTTTGTTTTTTTCCTGAATCACACTGAGGTTAGGTACATAAAGGAGCTCAGTGTAAACAGAACAGACTTTTTACAAACACACAATGTGGATGTAGGTCACACACACATACGTGGATCAGCTGCAGTGGATCTAGGGAGGCAGTGAATTCAGGCTGCTGTTTTTGAAGACTGAGCACTGTCTAGCTGGGTGTTGCTTTGACCTGACCACAACCCACCCCCCTTTTTGTTTTTTTCTTTAATTGCTGAGTGATATTCTGTGCTTGGTTATTATAGAAACCACCCTAACAGGGATTRTATTTGCAGTGTATTGCATAGATGTGATTGTGAAACGCTTGAGGAAGTTTGGGGTTGAAGTTGCTATATAAATATGATAAATTAATACTTACATCTAGAGGCAGGACATGCAATGTCCAAATTATCTTTTAAAATAGTCTTATGGGCTAGATTTGAATACATATTTTGAGGTGAAGTCATCCTGTTGAAATAGGGAATAGCAAGTAATATACTTAAAGAGTAGAAATTTATCTACAGTGGAGTCCTTAGTTTTATTTTCAGGCCTATGGGCTGTGTATTTAAGAGGAAAAAAAAAAAGATATTTTTTGCAGTTCTCCTCAAATTGCCTGTCATGCCACTGAAGTTTATTTACTCTATATTGTTTTTGACTTGAGTCCTTCTCCCCAGCCCTTCGTTGGTTCTTTCCTTTCCCTTCAGTTTCCTTTCCTCAGTTCTGTCTTTCCTGTAATTTTGGGGAGCTGCCTGACACTGTGGATTGTTTGCAGTTTTTATGTATGTGTGGAAGTACAGCACTTATTTTATTCAAGTACTGTATAATAAGGTGCTAATCAATAAGATTGATAGATTTGTGATTCTTTCAGCACCAAAACCCTGTTCAATAAGTGTGTATTGATCCAGGGGAAGAAATCAGCATTGCAGTGTGACCAAAGTCATCAATTACATTGTGACAGGGCACAGACAAAGGACATGAAATAGGACGATAATTCAGGTATTTTCAGTATTTGAGATCACTTGTTCAGAGCACCAGAAAACATCAGTCAGGTTCCAGAAAGAAACTATATTGTGTAAGTCATTGATCTGAGAAAAGGCAGTAAAAAGACTTTGGAAGATGAGCTGCATTTTCCCACACATGCCTATTCTGATTTTGTGCCGCACATGAGCAAAGGTACATTACTTTTGTCTTTCTCTTTGCATTATAATGATGTGTCTATGGCTATTTCTTTTTCTTCCGTTTTTTTCAGTCAGATACAGTATATTCCTCCTAATGGGGACATAATCAAGTGGCCATTTGTTAGGGAAGTTTTCCAGGAAGCTCTATTCAGCTGGACATAAGCAACAGTTGTTGTGTATACTACTTGGAAACAAATYTACAAAAATTCTGCTTGCCAGAAGCCATTCTGGTTAGTGCAGATGATTTAACAACATCCAGCAAGTGCTGTTCTCTCAGCCTGGTCTTACTTATTRACAAATAAGCAAGTTAGGAAAAAATAACTGATGAGAGGCAGTGAACATCCCTTGTATTTTTGCATTTTATTTACTGTGATCTTCCCGATCTCACGTGCGTGTAGTTTCTTCAACCAGGATGCTGCTAGGAATGATTCTCTATCCTGTGGGGATTCTATTGTATTGATGATTATTTTGACACAGTTGTATTTCATAGAGGATGGGATAGCCTGCTGAGTGAGGATGGTGGCTGTAGGTTGTAAAATCCCTCACATTGCCTTGGATGTGTGAGTAGAAAAGCAGCACGGAGTGGAGAAGTAGGAGTCAGTCGCCTCTGAATTCTGGGCCTTTGCTGTTGACTTGAGACATGTGGGGCAATGTCACATGGATATCTGGTTTGGGATTTTGTTGTTGTTGATTTTAACCAGAGGCATCCTGTTTTTTGCTTCATGGTGTATAATAAACATGAGCTTAATTTTGAATTCCTAGGTAGCAACGTGTATCATAGATGCCTGATTGCTGGAGTACAGCTACCCAATTAAGCTAAGCTGTGTGTTCAAATCAGAAGCCCTGCCTAAGAATAGACAGAGTATCAGACTCCTACTCTATGCACCTGGAAAAAGGGAAAAACATACTTGCTTAGGCCTTTAAGTTGCTTAGGGTGCTCTGAGACTTTCTTTTTTTTTTTTCCTCTTTTTTTTTAATTAATGCTTGTGTTTTAATATTTGTGTTATCCTTTGGAAATATCTTTAAAAAACTAACGCTCCAGAAGCCCCTGACAAAATGCTGAACAGATTTTGGGGTGTTATTTCCTTTTTTTCCTTTGTAAATTCTCCTAATAGAAGTTTCCACTGTAGAACAGTGATCTGGTGTTTTRGCACATGCTGATAGCCATACCTAATCTGTAAATGGCACAGCATATTTTTTTCTTTTTAATTCTTGTTTCTCTCAGATTTAGTAGCTTAAAGTTTAAGAGCAAGTTGGTATAACGAAGAGGAATGAGAGATGGATTGTGGAGCTCCATCCAGCACTCCACAAATGGTTKTTGAGGTTTTAGGAGCTGACAGGCTCTGCTTGCTGGTGATGTCTTGGCTTAACTATCTGAAGAAGCCGTTATTCTACAAACACCAATGTTTTGATCTTCTGAGGCCCTCTGACCAATTAAATATGCCTGTGATCTATAAAGGTGTAATCCAGCCCTGTACTTGGAAATTATCTATCCTGTTGTGTGAGAGCCTGCTGCAAATGTTAGAAGCCTCTAAACTTCTTATCCGTTTCCAGGACAAAAGAAGCAAATTGTTTAACAAAGCCTTTAACTCCCTGCGTGACAATGTTCCCCAGTCATCCAGAATGTCATTTTCCCTGTCTCTTTCCAGGACTGTCCCATTGTTTTGGGGACCACTGGGCCTGGTTTTCCTGGCAGTCCTTGGGTAGCTGGGACCGCATTTGGTTTATTTTGTCATTCTTCCTCCTGAGGAATCCTGAGCAAAAGCTCATGGATTCATGGAGTGGACTGGATGCCCAGTTTATCTGAAATGGGGCTCATATAAACAGGCCAGTTGTTCCTCTGTTTGCTGAAAAGTGTAAAAGAAGACTGGAGCTTATATTTATTTTATTGCTATCTCATCTAACATTAGCATTATACTTAGTGTCTGAGAAAGTTT